ATCAGGTACCTGATCAGCTTATATTAAAGTTTTTCTTCATTACCCATTTAAGCCGTCTCCAGCCATTATTAGTCTCAAAGTGGGTTCCTCGTCATCGAATTTGAATCCACGGGCTTTGTCTGAATATGACTGATCGACTGTTCTCCAGGGCTGTTTTTATTTGACCTGTAGTTGCTTTTTAGTTTTGAAAGTGACCAGCTGACCTGGGTAACTGTGTTACACAAACCACATACACTAAAAAGTAATACGCCCACAAAAGGGTCTCAGTATATTTTTTTAAATGATTTGATCAAGTCGAAAAGCAACAGAATGTGAGGAAAATTAAGACACTGAATATATTTGGTAGCAATTAACAATTCAGCCAATGATACGTCGAGATTTTATTTTGTTATTCCATCTTAAATAACAAATACGATTATTAAAGACAGCGTATAAGACTGAAATTCAACGTGTGTCATACTATACAGGCAACAGTATGAATATATACATTCATCCATTATCAGAACCAGTAAAACAGACATAACTCGAGACCAATCAAAAAATAAAAGAAACCTTAAGCTTCATTCAGATAACTTTTTATTTACACCGTACAACTAGAAAATTTAATAGCACAGTTCTTACCTATGAAACAGAAAGCGATGAAAGTTTCGGCGTGGTTTCTGGCCACTTCTATTCCCGTAACGAGAGGGAGCCTCTGTAGAATCGGTTCTATGAAGTCATTAGGGATAACAGCCGATATATCCCACTTAAGCCTACTAAGAACAAGAAGCTCCCAGTTCTAAAAATAAAAAAGTGACGTTACAAAACAAAATACATCATGTTATAAAGCTAACAGACAGATAATAAAGAAAGAATTTGTTATCAGAAATTAGTGATAAAGCTGACAACTTGATGGAAAAAAACTAAAATTAAAACATAGATATCTTAATATAAATTCATGTGTAAAAATCATATTAAGCAATACTATCAAAATAATTAGAGCCTCGTTGAAAATGCTAATATTTTTTTTTTATTTTGTTATATTTTCTTCCTTACAATACCAGAACTTTACCCTGAAGATTAGGGCAACAGCTTTTATCTTATTTTTTACGGTAGCAGCAGTAATAGGTGTTGCTGTTCTTACTGCAAAGCTACACAATGAGCTATTAACATTCTTGTACACCGCGGGAATCGTACCCCGAATTTTTGTGTTGTAAGACCATAGACTTACCGCTAAATCATCGGGGACTTTTATATAGCTTAAATTCAAAATTGTATTATTCTCAGGAATGCTGAATTAAGTGACATATATTTCAGAACTCATACTGCACACAAATTCAATAAATTAGGAAGAAAATGAGACAAACATATAGAAATGGGTTCATAATTCAAAAAGACTGAAAGTTACAAAGTTCGCTTTACTTTACAGAGATAAAAGTAGTACTGTGGTCCTCTCATCTCTTACAGACCTCTCTACAGAGATAAAAGTAGTACTGTGGTCCTCTCATCTCTTACAGAACCTCTCTACGTAAATAAAAGTAGTACTGTGGTCCTCTCATTTCTTACAGACCTCTCTACAGAGATAAAAGGAGTACTGTGGTCCTCTCATCTTTTACAGAACCTCTCTACAGAGATAAAAGGAGTACTGTGGTCCTCTCATCTCTTACAGAACATCTCTACAGAGATAAAAGTAGTATTGTGGTCCTCTCATCTCTTACAGAGCCTCTCTACGTAGATAAAAGGAGTACTGTGGTCCTCTCATCTTTTACAGAACCTCTCTACTGAGATAAAAGTAGTACTGTGGTCCTCTCATCTCTTACAGAACCTCTCTACGTAGATAAAAGTAGTATTGTGGTCCTCTCATGTCTTACAGACCTCTCTACGTCGATAAAAGTAGTATTGTGGTCCTCTCATGTCTTACAGACCTCTACGTCGATAAAAGTAGTATTGTGGTCTTCTCATGTCTTACAGACCTCTTTACAGATATAAAAGTAGTATTGTGGTCTTCTCGTGTCTTACAGACCTCTCTACAAGGATAAAAGTAGCATTGTGGTCTTCTCATGTCTTACAGACCTCTCTACAAGGATAAAAGTAGCATTGTGGTCTTCTCTTGTCTTACAGACCTCTCTACAAGGATAAAAGTGATACAGACTTTTTCTTACATACCTTTTTACCTAAGAGGATAAAAGTTGTAATGCAGCCCTCTATTGTCCTACAGACCTCAGTACATGGATAAAAGTCACACTGTGGACCTATTTACAGGAAAAAAAGTCGTAAGGGGTAAAGGGGTCGTTTCTTTCCAACATGGTAAGTCGTACTTGCTTGTCTTATAGACCAGTTATAAGGTTAAAAGTTGTACTGTAGACGGAGAGACTACTTTTATTTCTATCAAGAATCAACTGAACTTACCAAGATACATTTATTTCAGAATATATGGTAGGTATACTTAACATAACTGATTCCGAAGATTGAAATAATAAGAATATAAATCACTTGTAAAACACTTTCTCTTGTGATCTAGAAAAAGAAACCTGAACCTGATGTAGCTCTTCTATACTATATAGTTTGTTTGAATTGGGCTGCACAACAATCAGTGTTTGTATTATAGTTTGACAATATGAATCAGTGCTAGCGAATATAATACTATGTTATGTCTATCGTGAATGACAATGTGAGACAAACTACAAGTTTCAGGACATCGAAACAACTATTCAAATGTTGGAAATAAAAGCCATTTAGTTAAGGCTTAAGGTGTATAACCTGTCTATCTTTTATGAACGCTACAAATGTGCAGCTGGTATACTACCACGCACATATTTAACACGATGATGAGGACACCTACTCAACCCAGCACCTTTTAATCTTCATCATTCCAACTTGGTTTTCTCTCGCTTCAGGGGTGCTTCCTTTCTTTCATAATTTCACGAAAAGCTACACAAAAAGTATCTTCGTATATTCATTTATAAGACTGAACTGATACATCATAGAATAGAGATAAGGCAGGTGGTTAGCATACTAGACTGTGAATCAGTGGGTTTATGGCTCATGTTCTGCTGCCACAAAATAGCGCTTCACACTTTGTGGTGGTTACTGCTGACTAACTGCCCGCCTTCTAGTCTATCAGTTCAAAATTAGGGACGGCTAACAAAGATTACCCGAATATTTCTGCGCGCAACTCAATAAAGATCAACATTAATTAAAAAGCACCTAAATTCCAATGTGTTGAGTGCGTTTTTATGGCAATGGTTCGCGAACTATGCATCTTGATATTCACAATCTAGGCATGTTAACCACTAGGCAGCGCCCGGACAGCTCCAGGAGAGAGTCACCAGATAACATTAAGAGTTTTATAAATGTAAGGGAGAAAATATTAACTGAAACACCTTTTACAATTAAAAAAATATTGAAAACAACAATTTGTTTTATATAACACGTGCTTCCGGTGTCAAGTGCCACCTTTTAAGGGGTAAGAAAGTTCTGAAGCAGGTGTTATCCACATGTTCCGAGATATATATAAGCTTAAAAATCTGCACCGGGACTCCACATCAGTTTAAAATAATATAAATTTTTTATGCTATTGACACAAGGCAAAAATTATTTTTTAAACATTATCTACAAACTGTACTTTGGGAAAAGTTGCCAGTTATGCTTGGTTCAAAATCAAATAGTGATGGACTGTAATACATCATACCATGCATTTTAAAGAAAGGGCTTTTCTGAAGTGAGCGTGGCACGCCCATTCTCGTTCCATACCACCCAATTTTATCATTCGATTTCCACATAGGATAGATTGACTGCGTCGATAGCCTTACCTGTGATTGCTCAACCTCGGGTCTCTCAACCATACACGTAGACATAATAACAAGCCCGGGAGACTGTCCGGTTTAAGGTAGAGACACACCTTTCCCACATACCACACGTGGCTTGAATTCTTTTCAACTGTACCGTAGCTGAACCTGAATGAAACTTATTTCAAAAGCAACTTGCATCGTGTACAGTCGCATGCCAGCTTCCCAGAAGTCTGTTTATTCAACGCTATTACGGCTAGCTAGAGGAGCAGGTCTTCACATACGAAACGATTTAAATTAAATCGGCATTGACCATTCATTGGAAGTACAATAAAATTATTTACTGTTTTATTTATCAAGAGAGTTACACAATTTTCTTCCCTCCGAGGAAACCCAATCACTATAAAAACAAAATAAAAATAAACAACGAACGATGATACAGGAATATGTTTGGGAACACCGTGTATGGTTAGGGTTGGTTTAATGAAACCTACAGCGAGAATTTCTTAAAGAAATTTTATTGAAGTCTAACATGACTTAATCTACATGTAAACCTCACGTGATGGATTGACATTTGGTACAACTTATTGTTTGGAACTAACCAACCAGACACCCCGTATCTTTATTTGTATGTGTGTGAAATCGATTTGCGTGTGAGCGTGCATTTTAAACTCAAAAATAACTTTTAGTGAACTTTATAGTTTGGTTTGGAGTTTACTTACTAGTTATAATGATTTTTGTTTATTAGAAGTTACAGCTTTTACAGTAAGGAAGAATATCTCTAAAAACAGATACGGCGTTTCGATCACTGATGAAGTTTATGAAACTGTTCTTAAGCCTAAAAAGAAAGAAAAAAAAAAGAGATGAATGCCAGATCTGTTGCTATATGATTATCACTCTAATCGGTATTTGTACACGGGTTGAGTACGTTACATTAAAACGATTTCGGAGCTTCACCACGTCGTTACAATTTTTGTCGCTACGTTTGGTCAAGCTACCTAATTATCGAACATCTCATCAGTACAGTTTCCATTATAAAAGGCTTTGTCGTAAGGCTGACATGCTGAAAACAAGTCCTTCCATCCTGCAGCTTTACATAACCTATTCAGTGCATAAGGATGATGACATCTCGGCACCCGTTTCAACAATATATATAGCATGAACTTTAGGTTCATTCTCCAGCTAAGTGACAACTGAAATCATAAGTCATAAAAACTACTTGTGTACACGTGACTTTTGTAGTTTTTCCAGATGGAGATCCTTCTTGATTAAGTTGCTTACGTTTAACTGGGACATATGGCTTTTGCCACTGATCTTTGGGTTCGTGGATTTTCACACGTTATCAGACGCCCCATTTTACTTATCACACTTGGGTAGAACCTGTTGTAGGTCTCTTCTTGGATGCTCCAGGTTGACCAATATTACTTTGTTTTACAATGCCATATATTCAAAGGATATCACAACCCTGGAAGTTCTAAATTCCTGATCTTAAGACATCTTTAAAGTGAGTGTATGAACATTCTGCGTTAGAAAGGGCTATCACATGCCATTGATAAAAGCGATCAGTTTTCAATCTCATATGTTTCGTCCACTGAGGATTTATATTGGCTTTAGTTTTCAGGTGACTTGCTGATTCGTATATTCAAAGTTTAGTTTCTCTGAGCATAGTAATAACAGTGTATACATTTAGTTAAATATGTAGATATTATATTAAATTTATTTATGAACACACAGCACATATCCTATATTTATATTAAAGGATAATGATTTATTGTGGCTCCATGTGTGATCTGTTATTTGTTTGTGACGTTTCGTGCAAAGCCACACAAAGGGCTCTCAGTGCATTAGCAATCTCTAATATTGGACAGAAACTGGAGGGGAGATAGCTAATCAACAGCAACTACCACCACTCTTGGGCTACTCTTGTCTGATCGAAAAAGTAGTATTTGACCGTCACTCTTATAGCGCATCCACGGTCCCAAGGCGTGTTTATGCGGCAATGAAACGCGAA